ATTGCAACATCTTAGTGACAGATTTTTAATCCCAATTAAAACGTTTTCTAAGCTTTCAAGTCGTGTTTGGTCACGATGGAATTGTCATAAATATTGTATTCTTCCTAAATGTGCATAAAGTTTACAAAAAAAATTGTTCCAAAAAATCTTTTCAGCAAAAAACTACGTGTTTTGTTTCAGAAGCGTAGTCACAACCTTAAAAGTGAGGGGGCTCAAGTCCAGAAATTCTTTGACAAGCAAAAAAAAAAATGTGACCTTAAAAGTGAGGGGGCTAAAGTCCAGAAATTCTTTGACAAGCAAAAAAAAACAAAACAAAACAAAAAAAAAAAACAAAAAAAAAACAACAAAAAAAAAGTGAAAGTTCCCAAACTCGAAAATCCTATTTCGTTGGGGGGGGGGGGGGGGGGGGGGGGGTGGGGGTGGGGGGTGGGTGTAGTGGTTCAACTTTTTTTCAAAGGCAAGTTACTTTCAATTCCAATTTTTTGACCCGCATTATACAACTATATTACTTCAAGAGAAATGCTTACTCAGTTGTTGAACATAAAAAATGTCATATTATTTCAAAATAGCTGTGATTTTGTTCTTCATTAAAAAGTGGGGGGGGCACAGACATACTCTTGCCCCCCCAGATCTGAAAGTGGGCTAGTGCCCCCGCTGCCCCCCCCCCCCCCCCCCCCGTGACTACGCCTATGTGTTTATTTTCTCATGTTCTATTTTTGTATATAAATACTGATATCTGATTGGTCAAAAGGAGTAGCACCTTGTTTTAGCAATTCACGGTTCCTTATTTGGAAATCGTCCATACCTGATAAATATAATATAGCCAATTATATTTATCAGGTATGGACGATGCTCGCGAGTAAGCACGTGTTCTATAGTTTGCATTTAAACCATGGCTTTGGCTGACCACATGTTTTTGCCTTTTACAAATACCGCCCTCGAAAACAATCTTCCAATGCGATTGGTCAGTATTGGTGGTATTGTTGAGTTCTGTATTTCATATGCAAAGTAGCATTGCGTCCATTGTAATCATACATCCAATCGATGCGCAATGTTGTGAACAACATGTAACATATTTTGCTCGCTTGATCTAACAAAAGGACACGCTATTATTGGAATGCTAATAAATTGTTAATTTTGTTAGAATAAGGGGGGGGGGTTAGGAGACAGAAAGAGATAGAAAGGAATACAAATAAAATAACTTATCTTTTTCGCCCTCTTCGCAAAGGCGTTGGTACCTGACGCTGCTCTTGTGACGGGTCCTGTCGCTATGGATTCCTTCAGTTGTCTTTTTGTGTATTGTGGGCTGGTTTCGGTCCTTCTGCCTTGTCCTTTGTCCGCGGCCCTGAAAAAATAAGTGATAGAAGATTAGTTAAACATCATCACTGTTAAACAAAGCAAGAAATTCCGGGATACTTAATTATTTTTGCAAAAACTTCATGATGGGAAAAGGAATGCGGAGTGGTGAGGGAAAGTGTTAATTTTGTTAGAATAAGAAGGGGATACGCGACAAAAAGAAACAGAAAGGAATACAAGATAACTGATCTTTTTATTTTGTCCTCTTCAAAAGAAAGTTTGTTCCTGACACTGTTCTTGTGACGGGTCCTGTCGCTATGGATTTCGTCTTTTCGTTATTGTTGGTCCGGCCTCGGTCCTTCAGCCTTGTCTTTTGCACGAAGCCCTGAAAAAACAAGTGATAGAAGAATAGTTTAACATCATCACAATTAAACAAATCAAGAAATTCTAGTACACATAATTATTTTAGAAAAATCTTAATGATGGGAAGAGGAATGGAAAGGGAGATGTAAATTGTATTTTTTTTTTCGCTAGCCAAAGGTTTCTGATACGCTACTCTCCTCATAAACCCTTGGCATACGGTGAAGTCAAAAGACGGGATTGTTTTCCGTCACGTGATCTCGAATCTATCAGGTATGCACAGATTGCGTCATCGCCAGTAAAAATTTAACACGTGTTAAAAAAAAATTAAATCAAAGATTTTTCAAGAATAATTAAGAAGCAACAATTGAGTTATGTTTATTCATTATTTATAGAACAAATCAGAAGCTTCAATATAGATTTTTAATCACATATTTAGAAGATATTGGATGACACCATGGCAATTCCTAGAATTGAATATTATCTTACGGATCTTTGTTTACTTGCGTTTTTCATTCACTTTCCGAGCGAAGATGTATCCCGAACGCAAATAAAAAACAGAAGTCTCTGTCAAGACTGAAGCTCTACTGGTTTGTACTTGTAGCAAAGGAAAAGAAAACTTCTTAAACACCCAATTTTATGTAAACGACCCCAAAATCTACCTGATTTAGGATCAATAATTTACCGCCTGTCAATCATTAAAAAACAATACTGAGTGGCTTCTGATTTGATTGACAGGTCAGCTACCTGTATATATAACACAGAAAAACATAAAATATAACAATCAGAGTAAAACACGTTTAATAGAATACATTCCATATGTAATAAACATGTTTTATAAGATTTACAATTAGAAATGATTATTGTATCAACCAAATCGTCCTGACTTTTTAATAAAAGTTTGTACAATAGAATATAGGTATTCATTTTCAACAACATTTAACGATTTGTCTCCCCAGAGTAAAGTGTGAGTATCAACAGTGTGTAATTTACCCATTCGCAAAAATTTGTCAAAAAATTCTTTCCTGACTTCTGTATTTTTTTTGCATGAGAAGAAATATTGATGAGTATCCTCTACTCTTCCACAAGAACATAGTGGACTCAAAATTAGAGTTTTTAGAAATAGATAACGAGGAATTCTCTTTATGTTCTTAATGCATGCCACATTATATTATAATCAGCCTAAAACTGTATTTGGAGTATTTAACAGAAATTTCTATTTTTAGTAACCAAGGCAATAATGTTCATTGAAGTCAAAAACCGATATGCAGAATTGTTTATCTTAGTGTAGTCTACATGTGTGCCAAGTTATATTAAAATCAGATCAAAACTGTAGGAGACGTAGCATTTTGAAAGAATTTCACAGAAATTTCTATTTTTAGTAACCACGGCAACACTGTTCATCAAAATCTAAAACCAATACACAGAATTATGTACCTCTTAGAATTCTACTTGTGTACCAAGTTATAATATATATATATAATACATATGTCAGTGAAAATACTTAAAAAAAAAATAATTTAATTGTTTTAAGACACGATATATTACTTATCATACAATTTGTTTAACATGCATTTGTAAATTATGCCTCTACAGTATGTTTTTTACATGTCGGAATATCTGGTAAAAAAAATGAAATCACCTATGATTGTTTCGGTATAATAAAACAGTTATGGAATGTGAACTCGAGAAATAGGGAAATAGTTTCCTCCCTCGGGGAACCATAAATTTGCTATTTCCCTCGTACCCATTCTATAACTGTATAATATACATCTACAAGTAAGTATAAAAAATGTTATAAAACTTATTCAAGAGCCTGTATACCTATAACTCTCATCCTAAAATGTATTTATTGATCGACAGGTAGATAACACAAATACCACGTGATCAAAATAACCAGGGAGGAAATTTGATCAACAGGACGCCATCACTGTCTGAAAACAGGTAAGGCATTCTATGTATATTTATCTGACAATAATGATGCAGGACCTTTAGCATGGCTTGAAAATCCAAAATATTATCTGAAAGCCAAACATTCTACAAAGTTTCTTGTATTCTGAGATAAGGGGTAAATTAGTTTGACCCCCTTCAAAATTCGTAAAACTGCACTCAATTATGATGAATCTGTTTGAGTTAGAGAAGAGTTTGTATTACGTGCAATGTATGCATTTTCTGGTTGTCGAATTATAACTTAATTTTTTTTTTTATTTTGTAATGCTACAAGTTTTCAATCTCATATGGCCCCACTGTATAGTAACTATTTAATTTAAAGGACATCAATGACTAAGTGTAGATAAGGGGAGTTATATAGGACTGTCTTTGGAAATGTATTTTGATTGTTGTTTGACATTTCCAAATCAAACATTTTTCACTCCTCTTCATGTACAAGAGAATGCCTTCAAATTTGGTCCTTTGAGCAGTGATCGAGGGTTCTTTTATATCATGTTATTGCCTACCATGTCAAGGGACCTCAATTCTAAAGTATCATCCAACAGACCTGTGATTTTCACTTTTTAAGCCAAAATGATCAGACTTAATTTATAAAATACCTTATCTTTTAATTAGCTCAGGAAAAGTCATTGAAGTTTCAACATTCATTATTTTATATCCATTAGAGAAAAATAAACTATAGAAACAAATTTTATACACTTTTTCTGCCAGTGACCTTAGACTTGCCAAAATGACCTTGCTAAAGGTCAATAAATAATGATTATCTATTATACACATGTATATCTATTTCAGATCCACATTTAATTATGGATCCCCGTACCAGTGCCCAGGACGTGATGCGATGTGGCCTTTGTGAGACTGTTGTGGTACAGATGCACTGTGATACATGTCTTGTCAACCTGTGTTCAGCTTGTGTAGGAAAACACATGATTTCTGATGAATCCAAAAAACATGAAATTGTCAAATTCAAGCTTCGCAAAACAACTCCAAAATACCCAGGATGCACATTTCATAGAGAACAATGTGAAATGTACTGTAACCAATGTGACATCCCTGTCTGCATGAGTTGTATTGCATCTGATCAACACAAAGGTCACACATTTTTGAAAATGCTTCAAGTTTTGGAAGAAAGAAAAAGTAAAATTATAAAAGACCTAAATGAATTAAATGAGACAATCTATCCAACCTACAAAGACATTGCCTCTGATGTACAAAACAGAATGACTCAGTTAGAAAAGGAATATGGAGATCTCTCAACAGCCATAACAAAACATGGAGAGGACTGGCATAGAGAAATTGACAAACTTGTCAAGAAACTTAAAGCTGAAGTTGATGAGATGAAAAACACACAGTTACAAACTCTACAGAAACATCTGGATGAAATAAACAAGACAATGTCTGACATCAAGGATGAAATCGATTCAAATGATGTTATTGTAAATGGAAATGATATTTCAAAACTATTCATTGAAACATACGACATAAACAGATATAGAAATCTTCCAGAGAAAATTTTGCCCTGTTTACCACAATTTACTCCAAGGAGAATTGGAGAAGAACTTAGTAAATTATTTGGAACTTTATCACCAAGTTCTTTAACTTCAGATGAACATGGCTACAGCATGAAGACAACACAGAAATCACCAGAAGCTGGATCCTCTCCTCCAGTCAAACAGCTGCTTGATGAACCAGAGACTGTCACCACCATAGACACTGGGTATAGACACCTTTATCTTGACAATGTAGCCTGTCTGAGTGATGAAGAAATCTGGACAAGTGGAAATGACAAAACCATGAAACTCTTCAGCATCAATCAAGGATCACTGCGCAAGTCAATCACAACAAAGTCAGGGAGAACAGCATCTAACATAGCAGTAACAAAAAGTGGAAATCTAGTTTATACTGATATAAAAGATAGAACTGTGAACATTGTGAAGAATGAGAAGATAGAGGAGTTGATCAGACTACAGAACTGGATACCTCGAGGTGTCTGTAGTACCTCCTCTGGTGACCTCCTGGTTATCATGATCAGTGATGATAACAAGCAAACAAAAATTGTCCGATACTCTGGCTCCACAGAGAAACAAACCATTCAGTTTGATGATAAATGTAAACCTCTCTATTCATCTGGTGGTTATGACAGATACATAACTGAGAACAGGAACCTGGATATCTGTGTTTCTGATAGTGGAGCTAATGCAGTAGTGGTGGTCAATCAGGCCGAGAAACTGAGATTCAGATACACTGGACATACTCCTGCTCTAAAGAACCAACCATTCCGTCCACGAGGAATCACCACAGACAGTCAGAGTCACATCCTTACAGCTGATACTAACAATGACTGTGTCCACATCATAGACCAGAATGAACAGTTCCTCCGTTACATAGACTGTGGATGGTGTAAACCCTGGGGACTGTGTACTGATACAAATGACAATCTGTTTGTTGTTCAATGTAGTAACAGTCAAGTGAAGAAAATCAAATATCTGAAGTGAAATCTTACACTTCATCTTTATAAAACTTTTCTTTATGGAATTATATATCTTCAGTCATTTTGTGCAATTCATGCTGTTGCGCCTACATAGTCAACCTTTAGCATGTTTAGTGTTGTTTAGAATGTATGTTTCAAAGTTGTGTTTTCGTAATATGATGCATGTTTACACTTGATACAACAAACGTCTGTACTATGTCAATACGCCAGTTTCGAGATTGTAACTCTCCTGCGATAGAGGCGCAAAAAGTATCCATTTCAGCATGGAGGTGGGACAGTTTGCTTATGTATATAAAAGTGCATAAATAAATGAACGATGTCTATGGCTTTTAAAATTTATTTAATTTTATAGAAAGATAAAGATGTTAATCACTGATGTATTTTATGATTTAATCAAGCTCAATTGTGTATATTTATAAATCTACTTTCAATTATAGGGTACTTGAGAACGAAATAAACGTAGTGGTCTTCATAAAAGTAAAAGATTTTCTTGATTGTACAAACGTTCTTTAAAAAGTTTGTGGGTTTTTTGAAGTTATAATAAGGTAAAACAATCAATGTGTCATTTAGATTGCCGACATGTAATGATCAGATTCATGTTTACCGTATTCATTAGAGGTTCATATATCTCTTCCCTCGTCTGAAAAGTCTCACATCCACTGAATTTTCTTTTTTGTTCCGATTTTTTTGCTTAAAAAATTGACATCTTTACTTTAATTCGGTTGATCTCGAGTTGAACAGTGCATCCTTACAATTAATATATAGTTACGATAAACCAGTATATCGATGATGCGATATATTCAATAATAAATATCTGTCCCACCTGTTTGTTAACGCTGCAACCAAACTCCCCTCCCCAACGAAAGAGTGCACCAAGGGAGATAATCTCGAAACTTGCGTATTCTGATAACATAAATTACGTTTACCCGCAGTATATATTTTGAATTTTGTCTATTTTAATAGCGTGTCCTTAGAATGTCATGATTATTTTAGCTGATAGAAGTCTTGTAGAATTTAGCAATGAATGACTTATTGTTTACCGGGATTTTATGACAAACTGGAAATGCATAAGATGTATTCTCGATTCTCATTATACTGTAAACCAACTTTTATTCGCGATGACTTTAATTCGCGATTTACAAGGGATAAACTAGTTTGTGACGATTAATTTTCGCAATCAAACCTATTTTGATCTGTTGTTAATAGACACAGAGACATGACGAAGCTCTCGCGAAATTCACGAAAAAGTTCTCGCACGCGAATAAAAGTTGTTTTACAGTAATACAGGTTTCATTCTATTGCGGTATATTCCAAAAAATCATATTATATAGCTCATATATCCTTTTTGTTGAAAAAAAAATATCTGTCTGTTGTCTGAATGTAAATTTTTGTGATGATTATATAGCATGGAACATGCGTCAGAAAAATTTTTATTCAAATAAAATGTAATTTTACAGATTTCCACCCCCGTTTTTATTATATTTAGCCCACCGAATTTATAATCTAGTAAAATCCATGATAAAGTTCATGTCTTGAAAATCTTTAGTTTGTATAATTGTTTATTTTTTTTATCTAGAATTACATAAATTTTCATTCTTGATCCTTGATTAAGTCTCTTTATGTTCTTAGTGTAGTCTACTTGCATGCCACATTATATTATAATCAGACTAAAACCGTATTTGGAGTAGCATTTTAAGAGTATTTAACAGAAAAATTTCTATTTTTAGTAACCATGGCAACATCATTCATTGAAGTGAAAAACTGATATACAGAATTATGCACCTTAGTGTAGTCTACTTGTGTGCCAAGTTATATTGAGATCAGACCAAAACTGTAGGAGGTGTAGCATTTTGAAAGAATTTCACAGAAATTTCCTTTTTTTAGTAACAACAGCAACACCGTTCATCAAAATCAAAAACCGATATATAAAATTATGTGCCTTAGTGTAGTCTACTTGTGTGCCAAGTTATATTGAAATCAGACCAAAACTGTAGGAGGTGTAGCATTTTGAAAGAATTTCAAAGACATTTCTATTCTTAGTAACCACAGCAACACCATTCACCGAAATCAAAAACTGATATACAGAATTATGTATCTTAGTCTCTGACCAGTAGAGCTAACAATTGCTGATTGCCAGTGATTGGTCGCCCTGGGTGTACTGAAATCCAATCAGAAATCTTGAAAAAAAAATCCCAATTTCTATGAACACCCTAGGTCAAGGTTTATGAGAAGAGTAGCGTATCAGAGACCCTTGGCTAGCGAAGATGATGAACATTCTAGAGAAAACTTTATGAAGGGAAAAGGAATGGGGAGAGGAAGGTAAATTGTTAATTTTGTTATAATAAGAAGGGGATAGGAGAGAGAAAGAAATACAAAGGAATACAAAAATATATAAATTATCTTTTTAGTCCTCCTGGCAAGGAAGTTAGTTCCTGACGCTGTTCTTGTAACGGGTCCTGTCACTATGGATATCTTCTGTTGTATTCTCGTTTATTGTAGGCCGGCCTCGTTCCTTCTGCCTTGTCCTTTGCCCGAAGCCCTGAAAAAAAAACAAGTGAAAGAAGACTAGTTGAACATCATCACAATTAAACAAATCAAGAAATCCCAGTACATACAATTATTTTAGAAACATCTTAATGAAGGGAAAAGGAATGGAAAGTGGGAGGTAAATTGTTAATTTTGTTAGAATAAGGAGGGGACAGGAGACAGAATGAGATAGAAAGGAATAGAAATTAACGTAACATTTTCGTCCTCCTCGCAAGGAAGTTTGTTCCTGACGCTGCTATTGTGACGGATCCTGATGCTATGGATTCTATCTATTGTCTTTCGACTATTGTGAGCTGGCCTCAGTCTTTCTGCCTTGTCCTTTGTCTGAGGCCCTGACAAAACAAGTGACAGTAGATTAGTTAAACATCATCACTATTAAACAAATCATGAAATTCCGAAATACATAATTATTTTAGAGAAAAATTTATGATGGGAAAAGGGATTGGGAGTGGGGAGGTAAATTGTTCATTTTATTAGAATAAGGAGGGGACACGAGACAGAAAGAAATAGAAAGGAATACAGTATACAGTTATGAAATGGGAACGAGGGAAATAGCAAATTAATGGTTCCCCGAGGGAGGAAACTATTTCCCGAGACGGCGAAGCCGCAGAGGGAAATTGTTTCCTGCCAAGGGGAACCATTGATTTCCTATTTCCCGAGTTCACATTCCATAACAGTTTCATTACACCGAAACAATCATATTAGATTTAATTTTTTTTACAGATATTCCGACATTAAAAAAGACTGTAGAGGCAGAAAGATTCTGGATTGTTAAGGTCTGCTGGGGTAATAATGATTGTAAAGCGCTTTGAGTAGCATTTATGCTAGAAAAGCGCTATATAAATCCAATCATTATTATTATTATTATTATTATAATGAAAAAAAATATTGCATGCAGTTTAACAGGTTGCATGATAAGCAATGCATCGAGTCCTAAAACAATTTTTTTTTAAAAAGTATTTTCACTGACATTTAGACGAATTTTCGTTGTCTTCATTTTGCTAGAATTCAAGTATGATTTTGAGATCGCATGTCGAAATGTTTTGACGTCATAGTTACATTGCTAATAACATAACGTCACAGACTCGATATTCCTTGAACGCTACGCCAATTGAACACTTTCATTGGTTAAAATGACTAATAAATATTTACGAGGGAGTAGTCCCAGGGAGTAGCTCTGATTTTCCAGGGAGTAGTCTTCAGATGAGTGAAATAGTCTCTTCTCGGGGAAATAGACAGTTTTATGGTATTAATTTTATTTAGAGTAATTACAGTAGAGATATAATAATATTAAATAACATGTTTTTTTTGTCCTCCTGGCAAAAAAGTTGGTTCCTGAAGCTGTTCTTGTGACGGGTCCTGTCGCTATGTATTTTGTCAGTTGTCTTCTCGTCTAATCATTAACTTTTGATCCAGTATGATTGCAAAAAGTTTGAACAATTTCAATTGCTGTTTCTAGTGAGAATATATCTTTTAAAGCTAAAGATATCAGCATTTTGAAGATTTTTTTTATTTCTGGAGGAGTTGCATTAGAATAAAGAGGAGATAGTAGACAGAATGAGATAGAAAGGAATACAGTATTAAATAACTTATCTTTTTCGTCCTCCTGGCAAAGAAGTTGGTTCCTGACGATGTTCTTCTGACAAGTCCTCTCGCTATGGATTCTGTCAGTTGTTTTCTCATCTATTGTGGGCCGTCCTCGTTCCTTCTACCTTGTCCTTTATCCCAGGCGCTGAAAAAAACTGATAGAAGATTAGTTTAACAAAATCACAATTAAACAAATCAAGAAATTCCAGTACACATAATTATTTTAGAAAAAAAAACTTTATGATGGGAGAGGGAATGGAGAGGGGGGGGGGGTAAATTGTTAATTTTGTTAGAATAAGGAGGTGATAGTAGACAGAATGAGATAGAAAGGAATAGAAATTAATGTATCATTTTCGTCCTCCTAGCAAGGAAGTTGGTTCCTGATGCTGCTGCTATTGTGACGGGTCCTGATGTTATGGATTCTGACAGTTGTCTTCTTGTCTATTGTGGGCTGACCTCGGTCCTTCTGCCTTGTCCTTTGTCTGAGGCCCTAAAAATAACAAGTAATAGAAGATTAGTTGATCATCATCACAATTAAACAAATCAAGAAATTCCAGTACACATAATTATTTTACAGAAAACTTTATGAAGGAAAAAGGAATGGGGATGGGGAGGTAAATTGTTAATTTTTTTATAATAAGAAGGGGATAGGAGAGAGAATGAAATACAAAGGAATACAAAAATAAAATAAAAGAAAATATCTTTTAAGTCCTCCTGGCCAGGAAGTTGGTTCTTGACGCTGTTGCTGTAATGGGTCCTGTCACTATGAATTTCTTCACTTGTCTTTTCGTTTATTGTAGGCCGGCCTCGGTCCTTCTGCCTTGTCCTTTGGTCGATGCCCTGAAAAAACAAGTGAAAGAAGATTGATTT